ATTAACTCCAAAATTAATAAAATTTTGGGAAAAATTTATAAACATGAAAACAAACATGTTAAAGAAGAAATTTTTAAAATATCAATTCGTATTTGCAAAAACTTACTATTTTGCAAAACTTGTAAATACATGTGTACATAAACATCTTGATTTTTGACTATTGAGTTAAAGAATGTTTTGAAACATTATAAAATAATTTTATAGACTTAATAAAATATGTATAAACTGATATTAAAATCTATAAACTAATAAAACATTATTTTCATAAAAACACCTATATTTTGATAAAATCAACAAAATCAACAAATACGTGTGTGTGATTAATATATGAGCTTAAAGTATCTGTACACATAATATAAAACCTAAAACTAAATTACCCAAGCTTGAAGGTCTTCAATATAGCTTGATTTGGTAAACTTGCGGATGAAGCTTGAACTTGGATCTTCAACTTGAATTGCAATACTTCACTCCACTATTCTGCCAACCTCCATTGGATATGATCGTGAAATATTAATTACATCCATCCTCCAACATATTATTTGCCTAGAATAGATACAAAACATAAACACTAGACAACATCATTAGATGTAAATTATTTGTAAATTATCATCAAAACAAAAGGACCCAACAATCTCCACCTTTTTTATGATGACAAACAATTTACAAAAAGATATATATGCATGAAAGGAAAAGAATATACAAATTATAATTATCATGCATATAAACAAGAAATACATACTCACAATATTTCTCTCCCTTTGACAACATCAAAAGGGGGAAACAAAAGAATTGAGAGAGCAAAAGCCCCTTACAAATAAGCATGGGTGAGTATAAAACAAATAAAAAGATATAGGGATTGCTCCCCCTATCAAAATATCGTATGGAGTATATGCAATAAAGATCATGGCAAATATGTGAGCAAGCATAAATGTCAAATATGCTAAGCATAACTCACATACAACAAACAATTAAGAACATGTGTAGATATATCATTATAAAATAGTGTGTCTCAAGGCACAAGCCAAAAACAAAATAAATTTATAAAATCAAAAGAACCCTATAGGGGGTGAATAGGGTTTATGCTAATCTAATCCGATTTATGCCAATTTAAAACTAATTAAAAATATATCCTAGCAAGAATGATATTCAATAAGATATATATGAGCAAGGATATATAAACTAAGGGCGATATAAACATGAAATAATGGTAATATAACAATATGCAAGAATAAATATGTTAATGCCAAACTCAAGCACAAGGTAATGATCACAGAGTTCAGATCTTTTATCCTACGTCTATGTTCCCCACTCCCGGGGAGAAATACACTATCACACCGGGTTTTAACGTTCACCCGAAAATGTTTACACTTCACACTCGGTTTTCTAGCTCACCGAAAACTTTACAATCAACACTCTTGTAATCCTACTTTACACCCTCTAAGTGTTGATCTCTGGCCCGTGTCTCCCTCAAGTATTAGAAATTATAACCTACCTCTAGGTATTACCACATATCTCACTCCTCTTTGGACGATCCTGTCTCTCACCACACACTCCTCTCGGTGTATAAGTAGATTACAAAGTGTATCTCACAATGAAGTTCACAATACAAATATATTGTTCTCTATAATGGATGAGAACACAATGTAGGCTCACTCTCTAAGTCACACTTCTCACAACCCAAATTATACAATATATGCAAATACAATAAGCTCAATAGTTGTGTGTGTAAACAAAGAGAAATAAATCAAAACTAAACTCAATATAAACTCTAGCTTAATGGAATGATGAATAACAATTATATAAAATGTAAAACTAGATTGAGTTTAGTAAAACTTCTCTATAGATAACAAGAAAGGGAAGGAGAAGAGTTGAATGCTCAAACACCAATATATGATCTCTTCTAGCTATTGTGAAAATTTCTTCACAAACTTATAAACAAACACTTAAATAAACTTAAACATCCTTTAAACTTATTTAAAAACTTTTTTAATTATCTTCTAAGTGTTGGGATAGATGGGTATTTATAGGAACTCAAGACAGCACCCCAAGGCCCGAAAAACGAGAAAAAATACGCCAAAAATAAAACCAGTAAAAAATTAGCCGTTAGGCTGAAAAACATGTCATCAATCGACTGATGATTTCATCAGTCGACTGTTGAACAGTTTTGACAGATTCTGGAATTTTTGCATATTTAGCTTTCTAAAATCAATTAAAAATAGTAAATTAACTCCAAAAATCATAAAATTTTGAGGGAAGGTTCTAGACATGTATATGAACATGTTAGAGAAATAATTTCTGAAATATCACTTTCTATTTGTGAGAAATAAATATTTAAAACATATATTCCAGATTCTAAAACTGCTAAAATACTTACTTTATAAAATCAATTCAGTATAGTAAATCAACTCCAAAAATAATAAAATTTTGAGAAATGGTTATAAACATGTAATAGAATATGTTAGAAAAAGAATTTTTCAAATTTTATTTCCCATTTGTGAAAACTCATCAGTTTTAGAAAAATATGCACGAACACATGCACGAATATGAACTTATAAAAACTTAATTTTGTAAACTCAATTAAACATAACAAATTAACTCTAAAAATAATAAAACTTTAGTAAACATTTATAAACATGAAAAAAAACATGTTAAAGATGAAAATTTTGAAATATCTATTCGTATTTGTAAAAACTTACTATTTTGCAAAACTTGTAAATACATGTGTACATAAACTTCTTGATTTTTGACTATTGAGTATACATGTGTACATAAACTTCTTGATTTTTGACTATTGAGTTAAACAATATTTTGAAACCTTATAAAGTGATTTTATAGACTTAATAAAATATGACTATTGAGTTAAACAATATTTTGAAACCTTATAAAGTGATTTTATAGACTTAATAAAATATGTATAAAATGATATTGAAGTTTATAGACTAATAAAACAATTCACAAAAACACCTATATTTTGATAAAATCAACAAAATCAATAAATACGTGTGTGATTAATATATGAGCTTAAAGTATCTACATACATAATATAAAAATTAAAACTAAATTACCTAAGATTAAAAGTCTTCAATATAGCTTGACTTGGTAAACTTGCGGATGAAGTTTGAATTTGGATCTTCAACTTGAATTGTAATGTTTCACTCCACTATTCCGTCAACCTCCATTGGATATGATCGTAAAAGCTTGATTTCATCCATTCTCTAACATATTGTTTGCCTAGAATAGATACAAAACACAAATACTAGACAAACAATATTAGATATAAATTGTTTGTAAATCATCATCAAAACAAAAGGACCCAACATTGACAACTTACATAGTCGACCGGAATGGTGGTACTTGTCGGCCTACACACCTGATCGATCCTATAAACACTCACACTCAGTCTATTGTTCCAGACCAACAACTTACGTAACCGACTAGAAAGGTAGTGCTTGTTGGCCTTCAGTCGAACGACTAGAGAGGCGGTGTGTCCTTGATCCCCCATCGACAATCAACTATCCTTGCATTAACTGCTCTAACAAAGTCATCATTGCTCTAGCCTCTATAGTCTTTACGACTCATTAGATCCAGTCAGCTCCAAGCACTAATTGTGTTCCCTATAATAAATAACTGGATGACTTATCTTCACCAGTGGCCAACATAAGTTAGCTATCTACCGAGTCAGCTGCATGCCTGGAGTCGGCTCAAGTTATCTATCTGCCCTTCTGATCCACTATAAAAGGAAGCCATGCATCTAAAGGTAAGGCCCTGGCTTTTTACACAACTCTAAAATATTCTTCATTATCTCACATTTTCCCACTCAAGTTTACATACTGACTTGATCATCAGAGGAACAATCGGAGAACCTAACTCCAGCCTCTTATAAGTTCTTTGTGTGCAGGAAAGAATAGCAGGCTCTCGAATCAGCCATCTAAAGAAGATTGAGGACCTGAATCTAATACTAATCCTTAAACCTCCTATTCGATAACTGACATCAATAGTGATAGGGAAGTCTGTTGCCAATGTTCATAATCATTGGTGATGGTATGACCTATCACCAATATTTTGAACATTAGCACCAATGATATTAGCAACGGAGCATAACTTGTCGCTAATGTTTATTGGTGACAGATTCTTTGCATCTCCTAAGCACATTGGCAATGGAAGTCTTCATCACCAATGTTCCCCGTCACTAACAACTTTCTGTTGCAATACTCTCTGGTGACGGCTTTCCCCAACACCAATAAACATTGGTGATGGACTTATTGGTGACGAACAGTATCCCATCACAAATGTTTATTGATGACGGATTACCCCGTCACCAATGCTCTATTTTCTACTAGTGATAAGTATCAATACGGACCATTACAAACAAACACTACAACAAAATACATCATTGCCGACAAAATAAAAACGTCGGCAAATGTTTAAAAAACGTCGGGAAAAATCTTTCCCGACGCAAAATGCAACGTCGCTAACGCGTCACTAAAAGTACGTCAAGGAAAATATTTAGCGACGCAAACACACTGCGTCGGGAAAAGTCAACACTTTTGGCGACGCATGATGCGTCGGGAAAAGCACAACCTTTAGCGACGCATAACAATTTGCGTCGGCAAAAGCATATAGTATTTTTTCCATATGCATGGTTGCGTCGGGAAATCTTACACTTTTGGCGACGTAGGTAACGTCGGCAAAGGGTAATGCGTCGGCAAAAGTATACTTTTGCCGACGCAGAGTATAGCGTCGCTAAAGATCTCATCTTTGGCGACGCATAATTACGTCGGCAAAAGTATACTTTTGCCGACGCAGAATATAGCGTCGCTAAAAATCTCATCTTTGGCGACGCATATTTGCATCGCTAAAAGATAAAATAACGTCTACAAAAGTGTTACTTTTAGTAACGCTTATCGACACTAATTTGCATCGCCAAAAGTAATATATTTTCTGTCACATACAAACCTACACTGAATCTGAACATCCAAAAAAATTTGCTCCCATTCACATCAACATAAAAGTTTATTTTTCCATTTCCCCTTGAGCGCTAAAAGCGTTAATTTACAAACTTCCTTTTGCATACCCAAGTACATAAAGTCTCTCAAAAACAGATTACATCAAGAAAACTAGAAACGACAATCTCAAATTTGTATCATTAATTACAAATAGTTGATTACAGGAGGAGTATCTGCATTAAGTGCCTAAAGAGACTTTGTTTTCTGCATACGAACAGCAACACCTGCATTAAGAGCATTGTTTTCTGCATACGAATAAAGATATTTATTAGATGGAAAAACACTCGGCCAAAGAAAAATGAAATGGTTTGTTATTCCAAGTTGCAGATATGGTAAGCACCTGACCATGGAAGAAAAGGAAAAGCATATAATAGCTCGCATCATGTAGGTATTCCTTGTTAACATATCCATGAAACAAACACTAAAAATACTTGCTGAATGTATCATTACATGAGGTGAACTGATCATGTACCAAAATGATCATGTCGATAAAGGTGTGCAAGGATTTGTAGCAAAGATATACTATCAGTGGCAAGGAACAAATATTAGGCAGAACTAGTAAAGGATAATAATGAGAGTTCCAGGTACCGATAGGAGAAAATGAAGGATGGTAGCAACTAAAGAGAGTCATATAGAAACCTACCTCAATTTTAGCATCAGCATATGGGGGGTCAAGACTTTGAACAAATCACTCTCTTAACTATACACGTGATGTTTGATAAAAAAAGAAAAACTATACACGTGCTGAACATGTTCAAAATTTATGTACAGCAGACTATGAGAAATTAAAAAAAAAGATCTGCAGATGTTCTTCAGCTTACCAGTTCCAAACTCAAGAAAGTTAGCAAGCAGAGACTTGCATATGTCATCTTTATCCATCATAATACCCAAAGAAAATGTGCTACTGGAGATGGATCGATCTGGAAATCTTTACATGCCAAACCTTGATCCGCTGCTCCTATTCACTTTTGGAATAACACTTTTTGAAGATAAAATATTACTCCTGATACTAATATACATTATTAATTTAGATGTGGGGTTGAGTTTGCTTATTGGTCTTTTAGAAGCTGGAATTTGTGCAATTAAAAAGAGAAATGTCAATAACTTAATGCCATTGAGCGACTTATTAAAGCAAAATTTTAGGCTTCATATTGCTCAGTACAAATTGAAGGATCGTTTGGCCCTCCCTTATAGATATTATCCTTCTTAATCTCATGACCAATTTATATTTATTGATTTTGTTGAAATCTTTAGAAACCGTGCTTTGCACGGGTCTAAATACTAGTAAGTCTAATAATGAAAAATTAAATGCAAGTCTGACCTCATCTCGATGAGAAATCTCTACTACCACCGCTCGCTGCAGGCTGGCTACGTGCAAATAGCTGATGCACTAAAGCCTCAAGTTCAGCAGTCTTCTGGGCTTGTGCGTTCATCTGCTCGGCTTGTGCGTTCATCTGCTCGGCTTGTGAGGCAATCTGCTCGGCTTGTGAGGCAATCTGCTCGGCTTGTGAGGCAATTTGTTCGGCTTGCACAGCTACTGTCTCCTTTAAAGCCACGACCTCAGCATCTCGCTCAGCTGACTTTGCAAGAGACCTGGTAGATGAACTCCCTCGAAGGTGGATCCCATACCCCTTCAGGTAACCTGGCCTCCTTCCAAGTACCTCAATGGAGATCTCAAACTCATTCATCGGGGATGTAACTTCGGACTGAGATTGTTCGGTAGTCTTGTTGACTAATTGCTCCTGTCATTTTTAAAGATGCAAGATCCATATCATTTTTAAGTTTTTTATAGATTGATTTAACAAAAGTAAATTGGACATACGTACATAGGTATCTTGTGCTTTCTCGTTTACCCATACTTTCTTTTTTTTTTGGTAGTGGGTTTCCTTGTAAAATTCCGGAAAAGATGGAGCTTGCCCATCATTTTTTGATTTCTGTAATTTAATAAATTTATCATTATGGTTGTTAATAACTATTTATAGTCTATTTATTTAAAAAGTAAAAACTTATAAAGCAAAACTTACGATTAGTGACATCGCTGCTGCAAATGATCGGGAACCAGATATATGATTGTAGGGCAACTTTGATCGACTCTCCTTCGCTTTATAAGATTTTGTCTAATAACCAATATAAAATATATTATTAAAATATATCACAACAAATAAAATTAACATGACAATTTAATAAAGTGATTTGAGATATATACCTTCCATTCTTCAGTTTCCCACACATCGATCATCGATACCCAATCATTAGGCTCCACACGCTTCGGTGGATGGTTCTTGGGATCAGGTACTCCCTTCTCTATTAAACCAAGATAATAGGCGTGCAACTCATGCTTCCAATTTCTATATATACTCTGACACTTTTTCTTTATGGAATCTTGGATGACTAGGTCGTTCTCATAGTCCCCGACATCAAATCTTTGCTACAAGTACAGTTAAGCATGAATATACATATAAGCATGAGGTCAAATGGCTTTAAGCAAATCAATTGCATTGTCGTGCAAAAGAAGTTGACAGAAAGAGGAATATCCAGTTCCAGAAAGAGGAATAAATTAGCAGAAAGTAGGTATCCTTTGAGGCCCTAAATAGTTATTAACCGACTTGTGGCCAGTAAAGGGATGCAAAGTAAATTAGTAAGAACTCATTTAAGGAATTCGATCATGTAATGGCTTCTTATGGGTGTAGTACATGTGCTGGGGTTTTATACAAGTTTTCAGGCTTCAACAGTCTGCTCTAGGCACAAAACAATAGTTGTTTCAACTCAAACAAGTATTTACAACTATAGGAGCCTGGAACTATGTGAAACGTGGTTGGTTGAAAAATGACCTGAACCTAGACTCCTGACTGAATCCCATATCAGTAATCCATCAAAAGAAGATCATAACTGGATGTCAATGTAGGCATAATCTGAAAACAAATATGATATGACAAATCTGAAAAGATGTGAATATATGCTGCACTCCTGTGTCTAACTACGTTTGCGGGAAAAAAAACTACACACGATCATATCCTGCGAATTCATAACGACTCCAGCAATGTTTTTCCGAAAACTATCTTAATTGTGATATAAGCTCTAGAAAGTATGACAATGAAAAGAAACGAAACTTATTATTAAGATTTTCATAACTAAACATGATCAGAAGCTGATCTTTAACAGGCTGTATAAATAGTAATCCAAATTGATCAACTTTAATAATTTATCTTCATTATGCAATCTAATAAATCATAGCTGGTAATGAGCCAAAACATAAAGGCAATAGCAAGAAAGATACCTATCACAAAATTACCTTGGAACACACACAATTGCATACGATTTTGAGATTTAAATTGCCTTGACCTGTAACATAATGTAACCATTATCATACTCATCTTTTACCACAATAATCTGGTTCTACCCACAAACTCATGAACAAAAATGTTTACAACCAGTCATCAACGAGATTTTTATTAGCAAGGGAGGACCTCCTGTAAACTATCAAGGCAAAATGCCAGGAAACTGAACCCACCTATTATGGACAGTGAATTCTTGGAGCAACTATTTAGTATCCCTACATTAAACAGAAGCAATATGAAGCAACAACGTCAAACTTTCTATTAATCTCTTGAAGAAAAACTGAGGCTTCCACTAGTTATTCATAAAAGCGAGGTATAAACCAAAAAGATCTCATATAAACACAAAATGTCACAGTTCAATAATTTGGTAGCTAAGACACAATTCGAAATCCAAACTCTTGGAAAACATTTGACAGATTCTGCAGATCTCATCTGGTTAATCCTATTAGTTCCTGGCACTTGCCACACACGTGAGCTAAGTAGTAACCGCATAATGAAAGATGTAAAATGCATGAGATCAAGGACAACTATGGACATGTTTGTAAGATGAGACTATTCATTCCTCCCAAAGAAAAAAAAAGAAAAGAAAAAAAGAACATGCTCCTAACGGAGTGAATACGTACATGCAGGCAGTAAAGAAGAAATAGCATATTCAAATCAGAAAATTTTTCCGGAGTTACCACTAAGGAGTGCTTGAATGGGAATTGCCATATTTGATATAAATTTAAAACTTCCCTATTTGCAGATAAGTTAACATTCCAGCTATGATTTTAGGATTTTTATATATATGGAACAATTGGAATGAGAGAATTGAGAAGAAAATTAGGGATATTTAGAGCACATAAAAGAGGTATTATGAGTTATTGGTTAGGGTTTTGTTTGGAGAGAATTAGAGATTTGTTGGTGAGATTAATTGGTGAGTTTGAGTGATTTATAATCTTAGTTTGTACTCTTCTTCTCTATTAGTGAAAAACTCTATCCCCTTCTTGCCCCGTGCACTACCACATATTTGCTCTAACGCAACGGTTTAAAACTGTCGCATTAGCATCTAAACCGTTGCAATTGCACAAGCGCAGCGGTTAACAATCTGTCTTTATTATTGCCGTTGCCCTAGCCATAAGGCAGCGGTTTCACAACCTAATGCAACGGTTTCTAAGACGAGGCTAACGCAACAGTTTTCACAAAATGCAACGTTTTCTGTAGCGGTTTACTTATGCCTAATGTAGCGGTTCCATACACTAAGGCAACAGTTATTGCAAATGCAACAGCTGCAAACGATGGTTTCTTGATACCTAATATCACGGTTTCATACACAAGGGCAGCGGTTTTTCCAAAATCAGGGACCAAATGCAACATTTATTTTGTAGCTAATGCGACGTTTTGCTTTGCTATGGCAACAGTTTTATAAGGCTACGGCAACAGTTTTACAGGGCTATATCAGCACTTTTTAAGAAATTTGACCAATAAGCAAACACAGTTACGTAAACCAAAATAAAAATGGAATAAGAACACACTACATTAAGATATCATCAAAATGAAAAATAATGAAGCATTCATATGTTTTAAGCCCATCATTCAAAAATAAGTAGTTACAAGGTAACTTCAACCCATCAAAATATGATCAATTCACAACCATCAAAATATGATCAATTCACAAGTACAAGTCTGTTCCAAAAGATTCATATATCAAAGCCATCTTGACCGCATTCTCCTATTTAAGTCTTTATATCCCCTACAAAAAATAAAGAAACGTATCAAATATCATATTAGTCAACAAACTGAAACGTATCAAATATCATGTTGGAACTTAGACGCCACGATTAGATTTACTTAACTTGGCACTACTGATTAATACTAGCCTCTAAAATCTTTTTTTTTTAATCGTTCCAACATATCTCACTTTACTTGAGTGCTTTTGAAAAATCACAATCTTCAGTTTTCACAAACCTCCCTCGGACCCTCGGCTGACTGTCTGCTAAGGCTTTCCTGCATGCATACTGCAAATACACAAATTATGTCACTAGAAAGAACAAATTGGCCATGCAAATTCTGCTTAGTAGCATTGAGATTGTAAACAAGGGATGTCTTCTAAGGATGTTCTTTTTTTTTAGCAGTGCAATACCTTGATTTTTCTTCCGAAATTCCTTTTGCTCTTCTTCTTTCTATATCTGGAAAGTTTCTGATTTCGTTCCTCAGTCTTCAGTTCACTGATGGTCAGTTGTCTCTCAAAAGAAGCCCGGACACTGCACGTGCTCCCATGATTCGCATTAGTGCTTCCAAGAGCCTGTTAGGAAAAATTCAAACCAATGACCTCCAAACTCTTACTAAAAAAAGGCCGGACCTCTAAATATCTCAGTGACATGCGTACATCGATTGGGTGAACCCTAGACAAGTGCACGAATGACGACTTGGTGGTCAGGTGTGTTTGCTCTTTCAAATAGTGATCTTCTTGAATAGATCATAATTCTTCAACAAGAAAGATATATATCTTTGCATTCGGGAGTTATTCAAAGAGTACAATTAACACTGCTGTAAGCAAAAACAACACCTACAATTGCTTCACAAAATAAATGAGAAAAATAAAAGCCATGGTGCTTTAAAGTACAAATGATGGATTGTGCTTTTAAATGCAATAATTACCAAATGGACTTGCTTCGCAAGATTATGACTTTATTTTGTGTCTGCTAGCTTCTCAATATCTAGAACTAGTTGTTTACTTATTTTATCAAGACCTTTAAGAGCTTCACAGAACTCCAATGCAGAAACTATCACTAGATCATAAGAAAATATAGTGATAATGTTTGTTCAAATAAAACTATGGAGATAAATGAATATACAATGCTAACAAATCATCCAATGCATTAAATTACCAAGTACTTCTCGAACCTAAAAACATTATCCACCTACTGCAGAAACTATCACTAGATCATAAGAAAATATAAAATCAAAACAGGCTCAAAGATGTGGTCACTCTCTACTGACCCACACTCAAAATTGTGAAAGCACTCAATCACACGCTCACATGAAAGTAAGAGCTTTGGAGAGGAGTAGCACTTTTATACTTTCCCCTATGAAAAAAGTATCCAAAAAGACGAAGCAAGAACAGACTGTCATTTGACTGTACTAACAACCAACAAATAAATTAATAAAAATAAATAAAATTATTAGATGTTTAGGCATTTCTAAACAAAATGCACAATCATATATAAGGGGTTTTTTCCTCTCCTGATACGAGTCCTACTAGTCATTCATATTTTGAAACTAGTCCCTCTACAAACACTTTAAAAACAGGCCAGAGGGTGATGGGATTGGAAACATGGCAATTGGTAAGGGAGGGTGTGTTCACCATTTCAGGCATTGTTGTTTTCAGACCAGATCATATTTATCTTATGCAACCAAAACAACATACCAAACTTCAACCTAAGAAAACACATGGTTTTATAGTTTTTGATAAATTTCTTTCAAATTTATCTAACGAGTCAGCCTTACGAAACAAAAACACACCATTCACTAATCTACACCAAAACATATAATGTTATGTATATCAAAGTAACACACCAAACAATTGAGGAAACTCACAGTTTTGAAGTTTTTTGATCCACAACTTAAGCTTTTAGGATATAACTATCAAAACAAAGATTCCAGAAGCAGGTACAATTTCTAATGCTTGAGATGAAATTCAGCCTCAATTAACACACATTATGTCTGGTTTAACAAAAGCTCAATGACTACTCACCTGAGCATATTTAGTGTACATATTACTTGATTAATTAAATTATAATGTTTTAACAGCCATATATGTTTATATGAATCATTCATGTTTGGCTTTAATTGCGTTTGTATACATGTTTGTGTACAAAGCAAAATGTGTACGTGTTTGTGTCTGTTTGTTTCAGAAGGCGAAAGAGCAAGGAAATAAAGAACAACAGTTGTCATCAGCTATTCTTAATTAAACAGCTATTCTATTAAGGGGATTTGGATCTGGGTCTTTGATATGGGATTTCAAGGGGAAAATATAGTGGATTTACAATTATACAAAAACAAATCATGAGTGATTCTTAATGTCTGCATCCAAGAAGTTTTGTTACATCTCTTAGAACTCGGATCTGAAGATCTGAAGGTTGTGGGTCCATTACAAGCTCACCATATATTAAACCATGAATCCATAAAAAAATCATCACCATAATTATCCTAACAATCCATGAGTCCTGAGAAGAAATAATCTTCATAAAGTGTCAGAGTGTTTAGGGAAATCATTATTGCCGCTATAGTAATAAAAAATGGAAAACATAACTTGTGAATTGTCTAGTCAGATTGTTGGCTGCTTGCAATTAAAATTGATACATTACACAATTCTAGAATTGAAAATCACAAAATCATAAATGCAATTGTAAATAGGAAAATGCCAAATAGAGAAAGGGGAGGTATGCAGAATTAGTCAGAAACAAAAAAGTCAATATAAAAAGAGTTTTATGTGCATGAGAGAGCAGGCAAGAAAATTATGCAATTTCTGCAACCAATATTGTTGCATGCATTGTCTCAGCTCTGGCTGGCCCTGTAAGTGATAATACAATACCTAGCTAATAAGGAAAATACATCAGCTACTTGCATGTGCATAAATATATTTTGGTGCCTCATTTATGGGTGCATACGATTGAGCTCTTTTGTTGGGTTCGTGAAGGAAAACTCAAAACTGTGATATTATATGTAGTAAACTTTCCAAGTTTATGCATTGCCTGAATTTTCTACGAACTTAACAGCCTGTATGTGAAAACAACAAATTAACATTATTTATTTCTTCTTCCAGTATTATATTTTAAAGTGAGGTTTCCCTAAGAAGTTCCAGCATGTAAATATTTATGGTTTCACCTTGCTCGTCTTTGAAAACTTGTTTCTATGAGGTGTTTAGGTTGGGCTTTGTTGTTATGATGTCATGTATAGTAGGTATAATATGGTGACTGATAAGTGACTCTTCTTAAATTTATTATCATAAAATAAAAAGTAGCATCTCAAATGAATATTCAATAACAAATAAAAGATCCTTTAAAGAAGAAGTGGCCCTCAAATGTACTTCTCCATAATGTGTAGTAAATAAATCAACATGGGGGGCTGACTATTAGTGGTCATTTTTTGTGTTAAAGGTAACAATATATTGAAAAGAACAAACTAATTCTTTAAAAATAAAATAGCACATACTCACATACTAGACACCAGAGTCCAGACAGAGTTAAGACTTGTCCTTTATTGTGCCACACAAGACACCAGAGACATGCATCTAATGCATGAGGACATGGCTACCACTAGGATCCATGACCAAGTAAATAAATTAATAAGAGGTTGAAACATTCATCATACCATATGAGCTTGCATTTTAGGATGAAGTTGGATTAAGTCAATTCAAATATGATTTAACACATTCTGAATTCCAATAAGTCGGATCAGCCACAACATGAGTCAATTCAAATATGATTTAACACATTCTGAATTCCAATAAGTCAGATCAGCCACAACATGAGTCAAAATGTTATAAACTTTCTGTTTTGATACTTGTCTCTGGCTTATGAATGATTATTACCGACTCCTATCTACTGGTTGTCATAGTTATCACTCGATATGTATTTATTTATTATCATAACTATCATATAGTACCTGAATCTAATAGTGTGCTCTCAATGTTTTCCAACATTAATATGATCAATATGCTTTATAAAATGCATCCATAATGCCCACATTTTTAACAGTAATATAACTGACCGTCATTTACCAAATGGCATGACCAAACAACACTGTTACACTAATAAATTTGCAAAGATCAACCTTACGTAGATATTTAATAAAAAATACACAAACTGAAAAAAATTAAATAAAAGGCTTAAGCTAGGTATAGCATAGATTTGCATTTATGGAAAGGTTTTAGTGGAGGATGTATATTTTTTTTTAATAGTTACATTAGTAAATCTTTAATGTAAAATCTAATAAGGAAAAAGAGAACAATTAAACTAGATGCATGGAATCATCCAATTTTATTTTGAGTAGTAGGAGCAGGACCCAAATAGTGAAGAGATCAATGAAACAGGTTCGTCATCTCCTTGAATCAGTTCAAATTTCCCAGTAAAAACTTACGGAGAATTCATGTAGATGTTCACAAATACTTACGGAGAAATCACAAATACTAAGATACCCAAAAAAAATTAGGGCAAATTCAATACCCAAAAAAATTAGGGCACGGGCGGGTTTGATTACCGATCTCACGATCCTCCTCGTTGAGCAGGAGGAGGAGGAGAGGCGAGATCCGACGGAGGCGACGAACTCCGACGATGGCGGCGGTGATCTTCGACGGAGGCGGCGAACTTCAGAGAAGAGGCACGGGCGGGTTTGGGGCCGATTTTCGAATGAGAGAGAGAGAGAGAGAACGGGGGGGTTTGGCGGCGGGGAGCTTCGACGGAGGCGGCGACCTGAGAAGAAGCACGGAGGCGGCCGATTTTTTTATGAGAGAGAGAGAACGGAGGGGTTTGGCTCTTCGTGAAAATAAAGGGGGAATTTTCCCTCCCTTTATTTGGTTTCTGGGTAAAAATTTCGGCGGGGAGGGGGGGTTTGGCGACGCGGAAGAATAAAGTGCGTCGTAAAAGATGTAACTTTTAGCGACGCCAATTAGTACGTTGGGAAAAGATGACTTTTAGCGACGAAAACTCAATGCGTCGCGATAAATGCAAATTATTAGCGTCAATCCTAAAACGTCGCTAAATATATATATTTTTACCGACGAAATGAAAAAACGTCGGGAATTCCATAACTTTTACCGACGCTGAGTTAAAACGTCGCTAATAATATACACTTTTAGCGACGCTAATTATAAACGTCGGGAAAAATATATTTTTTGGCGACGCTAACTAAAAACGTCGGGAAAAACACAATTTTTGGCGACGTATTTAACCATGCGTCGGGAATAAGCGTCGGGAAAAGTGCAATTTGTTGTAGTGAAATATGAAAAAAAATATTACATCCAAGCAAATGGTGCATGCATCAATGCAATTATCGCTAATAAAATTGGAGATTAAATGTATTTTTTAAAAATCTAATTTCTCTACACATGGTTTTCTGTAGAGCAAGTGATATTTGATATTTCTCTTTTTCTTTAATTTTCTTAGTGTACAAAAAGGGACTGTTATAATGTTTTCTTTTTTGCTTTTTACAAATTTGTCTTCATCTGAGAGTTGAACATTGTGAAAAGGAGAATTTAAAAAAAAATTAAAAAATTGACCATTTTTCTAAATAACTAGCAAAATCAACTCTTTTATTGCCACGTCATCAAGGCAGCCTAAATAGAGGTCGATTTTGTAAAAATATTATCTTCAAAATATACCGGACTACTAGTCATCTTCAAAATATACGAGACTACTATGTAATTAGTGGTCAGTAATTAATGTTGATCAGATTCTTGTAATTTAAATGGGGCTAATAATCTCGTGAATATAGTAGAGTTTTAGCTGTTCTGACAACGAAATACATGGGACTTGTTGTCCCATGTTTTATCAGTATTATATATACCTGGAAGCATACCCTAATTCTCATTCTAGCCCAAATCCTCCCTTTCGTCTCCCTCGACTAAAATCCACTCACGACTGATCTCTCTCNCTCTCTCTCTCTCTCTCTCTCTCTCTCTCTCTCTCTCTCTCTCTCTCTCTCTCTCTCTCTCTCTCTCTCTCTCTCTACGATCAGAAGATACTACACCAATTAGTGTGGACTTTTGGTCTACTTAGATAGCTCAAATGTATGTTTTTTTTGTCAATGAAAAACTTTATTTTATCTCCAAATATGAAGTTATTTACAAATCTAGATTCCCAGCACAAGGCAACTGAGATCTCAAACAAATTTACAGGAACACCAACAAACAAACAAACAATCAGACCCTATACGGAAATAGGGGACTGTTAAGTAAAATGGTTGAAATTTCAAATTTAATGACTTTAACTAAGTGATCAGGGTTGCTAGCTTTCTGAGTGAAGAGCCTAGCATTTCGCTCTCGCCAAATGATGCAGACTGTGGCCGTCAAAGCTAGTCTTCTGATTTTAGCCTGATATCCTTTGCCTCTCGATCTTGTGAACCAATCCATCAGCTGACACCTGCTACATGATTTCCATTTGAACTCTAACATTCCATAAAACAGTTCCAAACATAGCAGGAGAAGGTACCTTCGAAGAACAAATGATCCCTAGATTCCATGCTAGCACATGAGCATAAACAACATAAGTTTGCATTAATGATACCTCTCTTTAGTAATCTATCCTGTGTTAGAAGTCTATCCTGGATAGCCAACCAACTGATAAATGAATGCTTCGGGACATTTAGGCTCCCCCAAACTATTTTATGTCATGCCACATTGTTTGTTGCAGGGGAGAGAGCTTTATACAAGACTGAGAGCTCAAATGTATGTTACAACAAGATAATCATGTAGTTATGAGGGTTACTACGAGATAATCATGTTGCTCAAATAGTTTGTGATATGCTCCACTATGCCCCCCTCAAGCTCGATATGCTCTACTAGCAAGTTAGAATCTACTTCATAGTAGCTTGAATCATGGACTGAAAGTGTTTCGACATGATGTCGACAATTTGGTCCTTAGTGGACAAATAGCAAACCTGCAACTGACACTTGGCTTCCAAATCTTAGACAAAGTGGAAGAGTCAATTTTGACATGTTTCGTTTGAGCATGAAAGGTGGGATTGGCGGTAAGGTATGTGGCACCATGTAAGATTGTCACACCAAAGTAATGGTGATGATGAACAGGGTATCCCAACTGAGAAAGCAAGAAGCATGACCAAATGAGAGTTCAGTAGTGGCATTGGCTAGCGCTCGATACTCAGCTTATGTAGACGGGTCGGAGCAATTGTTTATTTTTTTTCATGCATGTTATCCATGCAATAAGATTGGTTCACTAGTAGAAAAACGAGCAATCTAGACGGAAATTTCCATCTAGGTTGCTCCAGTTTCCGTATAGGTTGGTTCACCTAGATGGAAATCCGTCTAGTTTGCGCCGTCTAGTCTGTTTTCGTCTATATTTGGGTAAACTAGATGGAAATCCGTCTAGTTTGACAACCTAGACGGATATTACATAATCGTCTAGGTTGCCAACCTAGACGAAAATTCGTCTAGGATAGAACCTAGACGAGCAATCTTAAGACTGATTTTCGTCTAGAGCTCCTATCCTAGACGGATTTTCGTCTAGGTTGTTGTAATATCAACCTAGACAGAATTCCGTCTAGATTGGGACATCCTAGATAAAATTCCGTCTAGGTTGATATTTTTACAGCAAAAAAAAATTATTTATAATTTTTAATTCCCTGTACAATTACATTATACACGTGAGTACATCCAACCATCCAAATATAATCAAAATTCATAACAATTACATTAATAACCAAATATAATCAAACTATCCAATGCACATATCCAACAATTCTATTATACACAATACACATATCCAACCATCCAATCCAAAATATACATCAACCAATTCCATTCAATATATACATCCAACCACATGTTCACTAGCGATACACATGAATAAGATATGGTACACGACATGAATAAAAGTAGAGTGCTATAACAAATAAAACTATTTATTGCATTAAAAAAAATCTCAGCTATCATCATCGTCGGTAGCATCTCTATCCCGGTTACGAGAACGTGTGTTGCTCCCTCCAATATCTCAACTCTGAAGGTCCAATTAAAAAATAATTATGTGGTGTTTGATAACATAGTAAACAAAAATGAATTTATACATATAAGAAAAAAATAAGGTGTTTGAACGATGTTCTGCCTAGCGCCGGAATTATCGCCAATCGAGTTTATGATCCGTATGATTCCACCGTACGTGGTATGGAGAATAGCACCACCTAAATATTCCATAACGTACCCCATGAGATTATCCATTGAGTTGGCCATTCTCGCAACTCTAGTCATCTCAGTAGTCACCTAAATATACAGCTCCGAATTAATCTTATCAAACAAATACACGGAGATGCGTGCGATAAATGGCATAGCTTGAAAACTGCTTGGGGCTGCTCTCGTTATTGTAGATGACGTGGAGGATGCTGTGGATGATCTTATGCTTATGTCGGGTGAAGCTCCAACACCATACAGATGATATCTTCTTCTCCTATTATTAGGGAGAAATAAAATTAGATTTTGCTTTCGAATTCAATAATGTAAACAAATATAAATAGGAACGTAGCATTCAAATTGAATCGATTTTTTATCATCCATACCTATTATGTCCCATTACGTTCTGCGTGAGAGTGATGTTCTCCTATGTAGAAAGCATATGAGGGTCTGGTTCGCCTTGTTTCCCCTCATGTGACAACCTCATTGATGCATCCTCCTTGGATGCAGTCTCAAATACCGCCTAAAGCACAAATATATAGTTAATTCAAGGTAAAGACTATATTATTTGTGTTCTAGTTTTCTCGTAATATTAACACGAAATAGAGTTAATAATACTACTTAAGATGTATATAAGTCTCATCATCAACTCAAGATTTGCCTTGATCTTTTCCTGATTCTTTTCCTCACCCCTATAACTATCACGGAAAGTACCATACACCGCTTTTGCCTTCAAGTGTATCAGCATTTTCGATTTTCCTTGTCATATTATACATTTATGAGATTTCATAATCATATTAATAATTAAGATCATTTTAGTTCTCAAGGCAGAAGCATTCCTGTATATTTACATACACATTTAGTTCGGATAATTTAATACCAATTACTAATTATTAATAAATAAAAAGCTAAAGCAATATGCAGTTATCATAAGCTCGGTCCATATCGCCTCGTATACGGTCCATGGTAGTTCTCAGAAGTGAAAATATGGGTTGATAATGTTCGCTCTACGCACGAGAACCCCAATATATGCATTCAATCTTGTCGACCAAGAACCAGCGGGCAAATTATAACTATTCTAGATTATTATATTAAAAATAATAATGCATTTCATAATAACTTTTCAGATTATCATATTAAAACAATAATGCATTTCATAATAACATATCTCATGATCATGTAAATATTTTTTCTTAACTATGATGAAAATTGAATTTGTAGATGAGGAGGCTCTTCGACCCGGGAGGTGATCGAAGACGGAGTATCATTCCTTATTTTCAGCAGCTTCATATTTTCATATTTTCATATTTTCAGCACGAGAACCCCAATATATGCTTCATATTTTCAGCATCCAATATTTATAATTTTTATCAAAACCTAATTTTATTAGGTGGATCGGTATATCATTCCTATTCAGTAGCTTCATATTCCTACACCTACAACAAGGACAATACATAGCACCGCTTCTTAAATTTCTCAAATTTATTTCAATATAACGCATGAAGGCGTCACATCCCTCCTTGTATCGTATGCTACGAAATCTATGAAGTCGTGGGATATCTATTCATGATTTGTCAGGAATTATCCCCATCTGTAAATTATATATAATTATTAACTATGATTAGTCTCACAAGTACTAGTACATCCATGACTCTTGTACATTTAACACACATCAAACATACATTCATATATCATTTAACAATATGAATATTTATCTACATAAAATATATATGAAACATATGTAGAAACTAATTACATCAATCTAGCGGCTGTCATAGGAAGGCTTCTATCCATTAAGAATATAGTAGTGCTCACATCCAACTTCGTATACTTTGTATATTTTTATTTCTTAAAAATTTCGGCAGCACCTACCTGTTGTTCTCCCTGTACAGTGTGTGGATGTTATTATGCGTATCAGCAATAGCCCAAAACGCATAACAACATACGCCTATTGTACACGAAGAACAACGAATACGTACTGCCAAAACTTTCAAGGATGAAAATATACAAAGTATACAAAGTTGGATGTATGTACTACTATATTCCTAACCCGTCCGAGAAGGACAGATCCAATAATTACGAATTTCAGTTCCAATTCTTTATTCGTATAATATAAAATAAACGATCATTTTCAAGAGAAAACTTTGTCTTCTACCCAAATATGGGTCGTCTATCTTATATTATAAGTCCAAAGAATTGACCGTAATTATTGGACGGAAGTCTAGGATAACGTTATTTTTTTCATTCACCTAAATTGGATTATAACACATTATTAAAAAATATAATATATTATATATCACTCTATTTTTTGAAATTAATCCAATATGAAAAAGAAAAATCCAAGTCATAGTCACAATACAATTCATAAAACATAAGCGGTTCATTTAGTGTCAAATTGCTTCGCATATTCCGATCTCATTACCGGGAGGATGTCATAGTTAGCGGTTTTCCATTTATGGATGCATAAATAAAAAAATATTTGAAACACAGTGAGTATATGAGAAATCTAAATTCAAGCCAGTATATTAAATTCAAAAGTATATATTAATTAGTAATTTGAGGTTTAGAACATAGCTTATAGAAAATTTGATATATACTCTAGCTACCCTTTGAAAATGGATTTAGAGAAGGTGGACGTGCCCTCTTCATTGATCTTGAGGAATTGGCAGATATTGCAATTCGATTGCTTCCAATGAAAGAAATAAGCATGATCTCTATACTGTATTTTAGTCAATCTAGCTCCATGTCCTTCAGAGATGTGCTGTTTTGAAACTGATACCATAACCTTCTCAATAGCAGTAAATTAACCATATTATTTAGTGAAGATGCTCTTTTAAGTGATGGACTTGTGTGTGTAAGCTTTGAGTTCAACCTAAGTCTAAATACTCTTATACTATGAGTTAATTTTTATATTTGTAAGAAAATTGCTATTCCAAGAGTCCTATGAAGAATACATACTTACTCTGCCAGAAATCTGCCCATGTAGAATGATAATCCATCTTTTTTTTATTAATCGCAACATGAATTGTATTTAATATAAACCATGGCAATAAGTTTCAAAACTTGATACTACAGGACGTCTATGTGCTATTAACCCCGCCAAAAAAAAAGGAAAAAAAAAAGAAGAAAAAGAATAAAACAACTGTCTAAATGGCTCTATTTACTAGACGATATATAAAAACCTGCGTAATCCTTGCATCAAAGATTCACTTCTTCTGCTAATTAGGGTAAACAGTCCGAGTCTAGAAGTTGACAAGTAAACGGGCTTCACAAATAATTTCTCAACAAGGAGACGCAGCATTTTAGGAGCTTCCGTTGATCGGGCGGCTGGGGTTTCAACTGTAGCAAGTGAAAATTTCAACAATACACCAAGGAGCAAAATATAAGGCCATATAATATGCCTATCACAATATCCTGGTCTTGAAACTGGTGATATCACTTGTAAACGTTCTAAGCTACTAAACTGCAGTTTTAGGCTTTGTGCAAAAGCTTGAAGACGCAAAAACTCAGAAAATTTGATAATATTCACTCCAAATTAATAATAATAATAATAATAATAATAATAATAACTTCCTTTTCGTGTCTCTATGGGAACTTGCAGAGGGAAGAAGATTGCTCAGATTTCCAAAGTAATTGCATAAAATTTCTAAAAATTAAAAAAAAAATCAAAATTTGCATACTTGTTTAAGATGGTGGTGGAGCAAGAAAAAGCGATCGATATGGAGGAGGAGGGCGGTTGGAGATATGGAGCAAGAGGACGGCGGCGGAGGAGGAGAGCAGCGGAGGAGGAGGGTGGCGGGAAGCGGGGCTGCGGGAAGAGGGAGAGAAAGAGGGCGTGCGCTAGAGCGAGCGGGTATGGGTGAGCGGGGGGCGGCGGGCCGCTGTGGAGGGTGGGTACGAGGGGAGCGGCGGCAGAGGCGGGGCGGCGGGGCGGGCGCGTGCAGCAAGAGAGAGAGAAGGAGGGCGACGGAGAGCAGGGCGGGGGCCGGGGGCGACGAGACAACAAAGAGGGAAATCATAGGAGAAGAAAAAAATTGGGGATATGAAAAATTTTTTTGGGGGTGCGGGAGGAGAAAATCGAGAGAGAGTGTGTGAGAGAGAGAGTAGGGCGGCTGGTGGGTCGTTTAGAGTTTCTTTTTTTTTTTTTTTTGGTTACTTAGCATCTCAGACTGAAATTTTTCGTCTAGGTTGCTTCATTCTAGACGGAATTCCGTCTAAGACGAGGATACTTTTTTTTTAATAACCGTCTAGTTTGTCAATCTAGACGGAAAATTCTGTCTAGATTGATCCAAACTAGACTGAACAAACTAGACGGAATTTTTTTCCGTCTAGTTTGAGGCAAACTAGACGGAAAAATTTATGTCTAGTTTATTCATTTTTCTACTAGTGAAAGAAGATCAATGATGTATTTAGGCTGTGAAAGAATGATATATACCATCAGGAATTATAGGACCATAATGCCTACAAAAATAATGAAGATTACTAAGATCTTTGAGGGACAAAGACTGATGCAGAGTTGAAAGAAGGGCCTAAGTAAGAGATGAGCTACTACGCGTGAGAAGAATTTCATTGACATAGACGATAGCGTACATGTGAATATTGTTGGATATGCAGGTGAAAAAGAGAGGCATCACTTTTCGAGGCAACATAACCAAAGAACACAAGGCAATTGTGAGCTTTTGAAATCATGCCCACAGGAACTGTTGAGGCTATAAATAGATTTGTGGAGACGACGTGAATGTCGATTTGATGAATTGGGCAATTGTGAGTGATAGCAAGGGAGAGGACAGCAAGAATGGTGGTGGGTTTTATGATGGGGCTAAAGATTTTCACATAATATAGACCCTCTTGTAGATGGAAGTCTTTGGCAACAAGTCGAGCAGTGTGTCATTCAAGGAAGCCATCAGCATTATAGTCATTTCAAAAGACCATTTACACCCAACAATATATATTCATGTGAAGCTACCGAGAAATAAGAGATCAAGTTCCATTAGATAAGAGACTATTAATTTCATCAGACATGGCCACCTACCATTGCTAGTCCATGTCGGCATCAACGACATAATTGGGTTTAGGGTTATCGATCAGAGGATTGAGTAAGGCTTTAGGTTGTGGGCGATGAGTGGAGAGAAGGGCTTTGTAGCCGCAAAGGCTAGCAAATGCTCGATAATTGGCAAGTGGGAAAGTACGTAGGTTATGATGAGGAGGTGTGGGTGGATGCGAAGTTCGAGTTGAGCTTGGGGATAGAGAGAGTGCATTTCTGTCAAGAATTTGGAAGGGAAATAGTGCTAATTATAGTCTTCCCCAAATCTAAACTTTCAAAAAAAACACATCTTTCAAGATTTGATTGGACTGAACAAAGAGGCTAAATCTTAGCCTAATACCCAATCAAATCTATGGCGGATCTCATGAATCTTCAAACAAAATATCTCAGCCACAGATCACGCCGTGAATCCAAAGGCGTAATCTCAACAACAATCGCTAGTTAGCGAACGTCGTTAATCGACGAACATCGCCCACACAGCTCAATGTAAGATGAATCTCGCCAGTATGTAGAATCAGCTAAACTTTGCTGATTTCTTGACCTCGACCCAATATTAGTATGACCAAACTTCGTTCCAAATATAGAATTGGATGAGTACAAGAATTATTAAGCCTTCAGTACAAGTCTACAGTGAATAAAGCTGTGTTCAATGGTACACCTCTGCAACCGAGTAGATTAAAGATAATTTTCAATCAAAACAAGATGAGTCGAGCTATGTTCAATAGTACACCTCTAGCTATTATCGAAACTATTTCAATCCTTGCTACAAGTCAAATACAGAATCTTGAAAACTTTAGGGGGAGGTCTTCTAGACAGTTAAAATATATTACATCTAGGCCAATGATTCGGCTTGGAACAAAAAAGTGAACGCTCATGGGCTAAACACTTAAAATGAGTTTAAAGTTGAGCCCACGAAAAGCTGTAGCAAAGCTCGCTTGACAGAACATATAAACTCTGCCACACAGCTCATCTCGACTGACCTGACTGAGTCAAGAGTGGGTTAACTCCAATTTAGACTTTAGACCGAGTCAAAAGACATTATTGAGTCGGCCAAGTCACAATTCGACTCTTGTGCTAAATTTGAACTTACTAGTGAAGTTCGCCAACTAATTAGTCAGTGAACTTTGTCCACGGTGACCCACATTGGACAAGTTACCCATTATTCAAAAGTAATGGCCCACCCACATTTGAGTGAGCCTCTCCCAAATATTTTTTGTGATCTCTGCCAGTTAATTAATTAGTGAACCTCGCCAAGCAACCTTTTGAGAGCTATTTTTAAGGAGATAACCTCTCCTCCACCATCTCCTACTTTAATGGCACTTAATCAAGCTATTAACTCTCTCTTTTAGTTAGAAGCTATTAACTCTCTCTTTTAGCCTGTAAGAGGAGGAGGAGATTGTTCATTTGACACACACACATATATATTTAGACACACAAAAGGGAGAAATCAAACATCCCATACATGCACAGCAAGAGATCCATCGTCTTAGCCAGATCGTCAGCAGTGTATAAGATTGACGCTCCATCGGTACTAGGTAAAGAACCCAACTAAAAAAGTTCTTATTTCTCTTTTGAGTTGTAATCTTTGTCAATTATAATTCAAAGACCCTAAACAACTGGTCCATTAAGATTCAGGTCAACTTAAGCCTGTAAAAACTAGTATCACAAACTACCATGCAAACTGCTACTTCAATGATAAGAAGGGCCAAGGAGGATACATAGCTGCTCAACATGAAAGAAATGCAAAGTGTCCTTGAAGTTAAATGCAATTTTTAGAAAAATTATCAAATTGATACTTTATGATCTCTAGTTATTGCGAGCTTCATATATGTTACAATCCGACTATCAATGATGATCATAAGGTAGCAGCTTCCTTTATATATGTAAGCTAATTATGTTCGAAGTCGGGAGAGAACTTGATAAGTCTAGGTCAGATAATTATGAGGATATACAATATAAAGAAAATAACTATATATAGATATAACGCATATGATATTGCGCCTGGCGGAAGCGTACACAATCTTTAACGAGTCGGTAAGCGCAGGAAGAATCACAAACAAGTGTAGTCCATAATAGAATGACCAAAACCAATCACAAACACAGAGAATTTACGTGGTTTGACAATCTGTCTATGTCCACGGGGAGAGGATGGGGAGATTTCACTATATGGAGGAGAAATATAATGGGTTACAACTCTCTTAAACACTCACAATAACCCTAACCAACAAGATCTCACTCCCTCACAATAATCTCCCTCTCAAAGTGCTCAAAAGTCTCAAAGTTCTCTGATTAACGCCTCTCTACAAACCCTAGAAAATGTGTTTCTATTTATATCAAAACTCAATCCAAAACAGGCTAGGAATCCAAACTGGCCCAATTAACCGCTATCAGTCAACCGATGCACCTTTATCAGCCGACCGATAAGTCTCCATCAGTCGACCGATTAGGTGGATCGATCGACTGACCAGAACGATGATTTCCATCCCTGTAACGTGCATGTCATCGGTCGACTGATACTATTCATCAGTCGACTGACCAGAGACATTTCCTGTAGCTTCGAATTTCCTTATATTATGTTGACCGAGTTGCATTTTCGGTCGACCGACCATGCCATTTTGACAATTCTCCACATCGGCGAAGTGTTCCCAAAACTAAGCCGACACCAACATGATCACCAATGCGTCGTCTCTCCAAATTCGGTTGCACCAATATGGTTGCCTACGTACTCTCTCTCCTACAGGATCAAGCCGCTTGTAGTTCATCCAAATGGCCTCTAAAGGCCTAAACAGGCACAAATTCACAACAAGCTTCTACAATGATCGAACTTGTTGATAGGGATCACCTTCGTGATCATATCTGCTGGATTATCTTTTGTGTGGATCTTCACGAGCTCCACATCCTCATCTTCAACAACATCTCGAACGAAATGATAATGAATTTCAATGTGCTTCATCCTTGTATGGAAAACCTGATTCTTCGCCAAATAGATAGCACTCATGCTATCACAATGAATGGTGACAGACCGCTGCGAAACACCAAGGTCCTCCAAAATTCCTCAAAGCCAAATTGCCTTCTTAACAGCCTCCGTTATCGTCATATACAATACCTCTATCGTCGACAAAGTAACTGTAGACTACGAGGTGCATCTCCAGCATACCGGTGAACGGGTCAAAGTGAACACATATCCCGTCATCGACCGGTGCTTATCCAAATCTCCAGCATAGTCTGAATCGACGTAACCAATACACAACTTCTCACCATTAGTGTCACGCTCAAACATCAAACCAATATTGAGAGTATCTCGAATGTACCTCAAAATCCACCTCACGGCATCCCAATGACTCGGACCCGGGTCATGCATGTATCGTGAAACCATGCTAACTGCCTGTGATAAATACGACCTTGTACATACCATGACTTACATCAAACTTCCCACTGCACTCACATAAGGAGTCTTTGATATCAAATCTCTATCTTCAACTGACTTTGGTGAAAGATCAGCTGAAAGCTTCAAATGGTCTCCCAAAGGTACACTGACTGGCTTCGTCTCCATACTAACATTAAATCGCTATAACACTTTCTTCAAATAAGCCATCTGTGTTAAACAAAATCTTCCCTTATCTCTATCTCTACCGATCTCCATCTCCAAAATGTATTTTGTTTCACCCAAATCCTTCATCTCAAACTCACTCGAAAGCTGTATCTTTAATTCA